TCTTCCGTTGCTGTCACCTGTACCGTTAACTACAGTATTTGCTATACTACAGTATTTCCGGAAAATGGTGTCACTACCTTCATGCTCTTTGTTGTTTCCCATACCCTAATGCCAAGATACACTAAGCTACATTAAGATTGTTCCGAGTGGCTGCAGATCGGCACCTGGTAACGTATGGTAAAGTAGCTATAAATAACTTAAGCCTATGTATATTACCTGTTTCAACTGTACAGTTTCTCTGTACCTCGATGCCCCGCCATATTTCTTTGCTCTCTCCAAAGCAGGCCGAGCAGACCCTCATTGATCGATCAACAAGGAGTGCGACTCATAATGGCGCCTAATCTTGCTCAATCCACCCTTGACCTTATTCATGATATGATAAGCAGTGATGAACTCACTACGTCCCAGATGGCTGAAGCTGCTGGCTGCAGCAAGCGTGCAATCATAAGAATTCGCTCTAACCTACACTTGTTTGGTCATGTCAAAGCACCACCAATCAAAAGAGGACGGCCACGACATGTTACACCAGATATGATAGAAGCCCTCTGTGATTATCTTCTTGAAAAGCCTGGTTTATATATCTATGAGATGCAAGTTTTCCTGCTGGATGAATTTGAAGTATATATACCCAAATCTACAGTCAGTGATGCACTTCATCATAAAGGATGGTCGAAGAAGACAGCCCGGCAGAAAGCAAAGGAGCGAAATGCAGATTTGCGTGATGAGTATTTTCATGATATATCAGAGTTCTGCTCATACCATCTTATTTATGTGGATGAATCTGGGTGTGATAAACGGGTCGGCTTTAGAAGAACAGGCTGGTCTCCCCTTGGAACAACACCAGTCCAGGTATCTAAGTTCCATCGAGACCAGCGATATCAGATACTTCCTGCATATACTCAGGATGGGATTCTACTCTCTCGTGTATTCCAAGGCTCTACTGATGGCGCATTTTTTGAGGATTTCATCGAAGAACTTCTCCAGCATTGTCAACCATATCCTAATCCTAGGTCTGTCCTTATCATGGACAACGCCTCTTTTCATCACTCTGAGCGAATAGAACAAATGTGTTCTGAGAAGGGAGTCAAGCTTGTATATTTACCACCATACTCACCAGATCTTAACCCCATTGAAGAGTTTTTTGCCGAGTTAAAAGCTTTTATTCGACGACAGTGGCAGTCCTATGAAAACAACCGTGAACAAGGATTTCATACTTTCCTTGAGTGGTGTGTTGATGCTGTTGGTGCAAGAGAGCAAAGTGCAAAGGGGCACTTCAGGCACTCAGGTATATCTATTGAAGAAAAAAGATGTGAGTTCCGTGTGCTATATTTTGAAGGGTTAATCTTTAGAATCATTGATTGCTTGGGTATCATATGTATGAGCACAAGATGGCTTCGAATAACAAAGCACACAACATCAGAACACAGCTAACACGTTTAGCCAGCCACCGAGCCGTAAACCCGCAATATATCCAAGATTTGTTGAACCATCTGCTTTCACATCTACGTCCTCCATATCTCGAAGAATTTTCTCTATATATTCGCTCGCACCGTGAGTTTCATAGTGCGGATGGTGGGAAATAGAGGATCGCGTAGAAAAGAGGTCTCGAGTGAATCGATTTTATACTCATATGAATTGCCAGTCGGTTCGAAGCATATCTGGAATTCACCAAATAGTCAGTGATAATCCAGTGTCAACGTGAGAGCATTCACGGGGCTATCAATCTTGGATGCATCAAGACGGTGACTTATTCCTGGTTCGAACATATCTAATATTCGAAACACATTCTTCTTTGACTCGGTCTGGGAACATGTATTAGTACAGCAACTGGATATTTCATTTCCAACATACTAAATCCGTTTCTCCAGGTGCCACAGTTTGCAAATAAAGGGGAAGAATATGAGCAACTTCCAAGTATTGAAATCCACCACGTGATTCATCTTTTAGTAGGTTTCCGTCATCATCCTTACAATCATTCCCGTACTCTTCGGCGCGCTTCCTGGCTTCGACTATATTGAATTTATGAGATATCACACACCGATGATGATCACGCACAAGACAATTTTGCCGAAGGATAGATACGCGCTGTCTCGTACCAGTTGGCGTAGGTGTTTGTATTATGGACAACGATGTAGGCATTGCTTGGGGTGTCTTCGCGGATAATACCCTGACTAGCCAGTATTAGTTAACACAAGAACTGAAATTTTCGAAATAAAGATTGCCATACGTGGAAGAAGAAAATTATCAGTAAAATATTCAGCAAACCTCTCGACAGCGTCCTTGATATTGATTGTGTTGCTTGGGGCCCGATGAAGTTGTCGACGTACGATAAGGCAGCGGAGATATCATTCTGTATAATTAAAACTTTCACGGATATACAAAAAGAAGAACCTTAAAAATGCGTCTCGAGATGCAACGCGTGTAGATGTTTCTTGAATAAGCTTCGCAGGCTTGTAGCCCTTTTGTACAGTTTGTTCGAGGCCATAAGATTGGACAAGCTTATTAAGAAGAGCATTTGCCTTTTGGTTTTGCTGTGATGTCAAGGAGAACGATGGTGAGAAATCCAGTACAGATTATAAGACGATTGATGTCGATGTTGAGCGATCATGATGGTATGATAAGGAGTGGTCTCAGAAGTTGCCTACCTGAGTCACGTGCATGTGCACGTGCTAGAACCAATAGAGTTCCTACTCCGGAGTAGAATTAGCTTGGCTATCTACAAGATAGGCTGTTTTACTCCGCCCGTTGGTATGTTCCCTTCTGGGACCCTGTGGTACGTGCTCTTACTAACACGTGACCAACTTTCTGATGTAAAATAGCAACTCCTACGACACCACTTGTCCAACTTTTTCCTGATTCAGCACAGTAATCCCACAAACCCCTCCATCTACCTATGCTATTTTTCAATATTTTGAGGTTTTGATAAGCTACTTTTTATCTAACACAATATAATGGAACGTCTTCGAAATGCAACTGCCTCAATCACTTCTTTCAGCCAGGCTGTTGTACGAGAACATACAACCGCCTTCGCGGTTGGTAGCACAGGGCTTGCCCTTGTCACTGCACCGATTACCGGCCCTACGGTATTAGGTGCTATTGGTTTCGGCGCTTCAGGTCCTGTTGCGGCTTCTATTGCTACAGCCTGGCATTCTTCAATCGGGATAGTTCAAGCTGGTAGTTTGTTTTCAACCCTACAGGGAGCTGGAATGGGAGCTGCAGCAGGCACATTCACAACAATTTCAAACATTGGGATTGGGCTGGCAGGATCTGCGGTAGTGGGATCACAGTGGACTGGTATGAAAGAAACATCACATGCAAAACATGATATTGATATAGCGGGTCATTGTGGTAATGAATTAATGCCTTTATTTACACTGCTCAATGCTAACATGGATAAAGATGACGGTCAGCTATCTGAAGATGATTTAGAAATGCCTGAAATGGAGGATACTCTAGGTAAAGAGTTCGCGAAATTCCTTAAGATCGACATGTCTTAGGTAGAGGGGCTCTCATGTTATCCAAAGCAAAATTGGCCAAATTTGAAGGAATAGTTATATCAGATTGCAGGAAATCTTCACATTTATAACCTTTTTTTTTTTTAATATTATTCATCAAATATTGGTAATTTTTAAATTGCGCAATAGATACTTTACCCTCAATAGCCTCATGCAGTGCCTTCAAACTGAGCCGATTTATATAGTTGAGGAAAGCCATGACTATCCGCCGTAATCATTATCTACCCCATACCCCATACAACGATGAAACAGTCAGCAGGCGGTCAAAAACGGCTACCTTTGATGCCGTTTTACAAGTCCTGCTAACCGTCCACGGCCTTGGCATCACGTGTTGTTAATCCCATGCCTGTTTGTCTGTATCACCATGACCTCTCCTAGTTGGTCGTCCCTGGTGCCTGGACGCTTTGTAGACGCTAACCGTTGATCCATTCGTTTTGCTACTGCCAGAGCAGGGCTCATCCGTTGCTCTACCACACCTCCCTAAGTGAGAAGCCGTTTCTGACTCCCCTCGGTTCTCCCCCAGTGATTTTGTTAGTACGGTCCACCAGCAGGGGTGTGTGAGTGCCTCACCACTCTAATTACCGCCTTCCTAAATTAGTAAAAAATAAAGCCATTCGAAAATCGCAAACGTGGCCCCTATATACTCGAACCTAAGTAAGTTGCCCAAATCCTGATACTTTATTCCATTCCGTATCTTGACAGTAGGATAATGAATTCACTGATATATAACATGAATTTATAAACAGCTGAGGTGGATATAATCATGAACCTCGATCCGGGTGCTCTTCAATCTTTGCTCTTTTCATAATCTAGCCAGTGCCTGATCTCACTAACAAACCGGCGAGCAGCACCAACTTTCACACCTCGTTTGACAAAAAATTCCGAGTCTTGATCTTTGTCAATCTGTTTGAGATCGAGGCAGTTCTCTAATGCCACATTGCCTGCGTTGACAATCTGTTCCTTAAAGGTCTCACGGCTCACGCGGGATATCTGCCAAGCAGTGTATTCCTCGACGGCGATATCAAGTGGTCCGGAAATATGAATAGGATCAGCATGAGTAGTACTCCCTGTATCAGTGCCCATCGCGGGGGGAAGAGACGACTGTGTCGGGAGGACATTAATATTGATCGGACACATTGACCCTGGCAAGGAGTGATTGGGACCTTTCTTTTGTTTCTCGTGTCGCTCTTCCTCCTCGTCGTACAGTTGTTGACGAACTTCTTCGGGAACATCATCGTGGGTCTCTATAGTGCCACCTCTCTCAACAAACTTGACCAGGCTCTTGAGATGGTGCGTTTTAAGTTTATAATGCTTTTTCCCAACAGGGTTCTGCCAACAATATTGTCCTTCGTGTCGACATGGTGGACCAGAACAACGCATTATTCTATACACATCTCGCCAAACTGAGGGTTGTCCCGAGGCATATTCGGCATCAATCTGAACATCTCGTTCGGTAAGCATCTTCTTGGTCACTGATGTTGTCCCACGCTTGTCAGTATTTCTTGATAGAGGTAGGTCGCTGTCCTCTATATAGTTAATTGTAATACGAAGTCGTAGCCTTTTGCCCGCATGTAACAGATTTCCCCACATCAAGAGCTGCCTTTCTATGCTTGTCCAATCAATGTTAGTATTATCAAAGGTTTTGAAAAGATCATCTTGTGAACGGTCATTTACAGATACAATGACTTCAGTATCATCTAATCTGACCCGCTGGTTGCGCTTAATTTTCCGACGTACGGTACTTTCAGCATTTTGCTTTATTTGCTCCCAGTACGAACTGGGTCGTAGAACCAAATCTTGTTCTGTGTCTTTTTTCACAACCCGGTTGTTCAGCGTTACCTTCCACTCAATTAGATAACGAATGCTGGTTGGTGGCTGTTTATCATTTGTTGTTCCATTTCCCCGATTATCCACTTGGAGGAAATCTAATTGGTTGGGTATATTTTGACGCAAAGGGGAGGAACGTTCATCAGGCTCACGGTTGGAAGAAAAGCTAAATACGGAAGGCGTACGATCACGGCCGAAATTACCAGGGGTAGGGGCATAGGATGGCGTTCGTTCCCATGAATAGCTCTGTTGAATTTGCGAGGCATAATCATCGTTGAAAGGGCTGAACCTCATCTCCTCGAGGCAATAAATGCCACTGAGAATCCTGTTGTTAGAACCATCAGATGTTAGCCTGCAGTGCCCGGGGCCCAATAAGATGATTAACGAGGGGGGAGCTGCAGCTAACAGGCCCAGTAAAATGATGACCAAAGTCATAAGTATTGAGCCCCTAAGACAAGACACTTTTTGCCACTGCCCGTGGTAGTTAGTCTGGATAACCGGTTTGCTGCTTCAATGTGGTGTAGGAGACAAGGCAACTGTTGACAGATTGCCCGATACCACAGGCACCATTCCAGTTCCTATTTTCGAAGGACGGAACCTTCTAGATGCTACCATGGATATTCCAATACAATTACTATACACAATGAATGTTAATTTGGTATATAATACAGGAAATGTAATGTACAGGAACATGGTTCTTCCATGAACTAATCTATTCAGGTTTAGTGTATCTTGGCATTAGGGTCTGTGAGACAACAAAGAGCATGAAGGTAGTGACACCATTTTCCGGAAATACTGTAGTATAGCAAATACTGTAGTTAACGGTACAGGTGACAGCAACGGAAGAAGTATAGCTGGCGTTGGCGTTGATATTGAGATATAAAAATTGCTGTGTTTGTGTACCGAACCCCAGATCGATGGCGGACCCACCGTCGGGAGGGCCCGAGCCCCATCCCACAAACAGCCAAGAAACCACCGCCAGCTGTGCAGGGGACGACCTGCGAACCAGAACGACTAGCGACACGGCCAACCTGCTGAACGAAAACCGGAAACGAACTCGGAGTGGCGATGCCTTTACACC